GGGAGGGGCCCCTCCCTCTGCGACGGGGCTGGACCTCGTCACGCCCCCGGCGCCCGGATACAGGCTGCCTGGAATCCCCAGAAATCCCTCCAGGCCGCGGCGTAGGTCCCCCACGTGGGCCCGAAGGGTACAGGTGCTTCCCTTCGAAGCCCTTTGTGCCCCCATGCTGGTCTGCAGGGGCAAGAGCGCCCCCTCCCTCGGGGAGTGAGGCACGGTGCATGCTAGGGAGGGGCAAGGCGAGATCGACGACCTGGGATGAGGCCGAGGCGTGGGAGAAAGGCCTTGAATGGCAGGCCCAGGAGTTTAGGTCGGGGGCGGGGGGAGGGGGTGGTTAGGGACGCCGGGAGGTGGTTTAGCATAGCGTTCTGGGGTCAGAGTCAGACTCATGTTTGGGGAAGGGCTCTGTGAGCAGGCGGCAGGAATGGCCTAGCTGGGACAGAGGGAATAGAGGAACCCACACGACATGGTGACCTTCACCGAGGCTGTCCCTGGGGCCTCTGCCCCCCACCGCTCCTCCTAATTTTGGAGTCCTCTACCCCACACCGCCACTTGTCCCAGACAGGGCCCCATTTCACCCCCAAAACCAGGCCTCCCTGTCTCAAACTGGAGCCAGAAACCTGGGAGTCACCTGCAGCCTACCTGTTTCCTGCCCCAACCAGTCAGTCTCCTGGCCCTGCCATGCTGCTTCTTAAATATGCCTGGAATATATCCCTCCTCTCCACGCCTCTGCCCCTCCTTTAGCTCTGACCACCACCATCTTGCTCTTGATGGCTGCTGTAGCCTCCTCACTGGCCTCCCACTCCCATTCGGCATCACCTCCCAGTAGGCTTTTTCCTTCGGACAGCCAGAGCAATCTCTCAGAAGCACAAGTCCAGCTAATCAGCTCCTGTTTAGGAATCTTCCATGGCTCACTACTACTCTGAAAGAAGGTCCAATCAATCCCCCTATAATCTTACTTCTAACCACCTACCTGTCAACTCCTACTTTTTTTTTCAGGATTCATTCAATGCTCCTACAAGGAAACCTTCCCTGTGACCTCCCCACTGCCCAACATAGGTTAGTGGCTCTTCCTAGGAACTTCCTTGTGCCCAGTATCCATCTGCCTGCTGTTTCCTATCTAGACTGGGAACTCTGTGAGGGCAAAGAACATACTTAATTCATTCAGCATACAGCCTGATGCATGGCGTTTGTGCTCAGTGGGTGTTTGTAAATAAATAATTCCAGGAGCCTCTGGGTGTGGCTCTTGACCTCATGGTTCGGGATAGCAGCTAGAGCTCCAGCAATCACATACACATTCCAAGCAGTGGAATGGAGAACATGATGAAGAAGAAGAGGGTAAAGTATCTGCACCAACTCTCTTTTAAGGAACATTCTCTCAGAAGTTGTCACTTGACACTTTCACATACATTTCGTTGGCTTGAGCTTAGTCACATGACTAGACCCAGCTGCAAGAAGAGGCTGGGAAATGCAACTTCCATTCTAGAGAACCGCATGTCCAGCCAAGAACCAAGGGCCATATTGCTATAGGAGAACAGATATCTGGGGACAACTAGATAACTAGCTGACTCCACAACTGAAGGGGTGTCTAAATTGAGGGGCAGAGCACTGCTGTGTGCCAGACTCTGTTCTAGGCACTTTACATCTTACCTCACCTAAACCCTAGGAAAGGCTATTATTATCCCTGCTTCACAGAGGAGGCTTGGAGAGTTAATCAACTTGCCCAAGGACACCCAGGGAGCTGTGGTAGGGCTGCAGTTGAAGCCTGTCTTTTCCAGGCACACCAGTCCGGTTGAAAAATCAGGATAGGGTGGGTCCTAGGAAATGCTAGAAGGAAATCTTTCAACAAGGAGGACTTGGGCAATGGTGTCAGATGTTGTCAGGCTAAGCAGGATATGGGGCTGAAGTGTCTGATTTGGCAACAAGGGCACTGCTGGTGACCTTGGCCAGGATGTCTAGAAGTGGTAGGGTGGAGACCAGCTGCGGAGGGAGGTGTGGACTGATCTTTCTGGAAGGGTGGCAATGAAGGGAGAGTGGGCAGAGCTGCCAGGGAACCTGGGCAGAAGAGGGGAACAATCACAGGAGTGGGAGAGAGAGGGGGCGACTTCTGCCAGGAGGTCTGTGGGCTGGTAGCAGGGTTGGATACAGAGAAGGAGCCCTTTTCTATGCAGGAGAAAGGGGCAGGAGGTACAAAGGCAGGTGGGTCTGGAGAAAGAAAGGGGGGTGGAAGAGGAAGCTCCTGTCTCATAAATTCTGAGTGATGGTTCTTGGCTGGGGAAGAGAGCAGAAGGCCAAGGGCCTGAGGGAGAAGGGAGGGGCTAGCCTGGATGTCTGATCTGGTGCCACTAGCCAGATGTGGCTATTTCAATTCATTAAAAGCAAATAAAATGAAAACCAGTTGTACAATCAAGTGCTCAGCGACCACCTGTGGTTAACAGACACCATACTGGACAGCACAGACTGAGAATATTTCTACCATTGCAGGAAGTTCCACTGGACAGAACCTGGGAATGGGGTGCCCAGAGACTCCAGCTGGCTCTAGGTCCAGATCTGGAGGTCATGCTCACAGCAGGGCCGCTGGAGAATCCTTCCACACTGTCCCCAGTCAAGACCTCCCCACTTTGAAATTCCCTCAGATCTCCCTTCTGGGAGGCCAACCCCTTCCTCCCCTTGTTTCATGAGGCCATTCCTGGGGTTCTCTGCTTCTCCCACTGCCAGGCCCCTCACAGTCATGGGAGGGGCCTGTAGAGGGTTGGGAAGAGTCCGATATTCAGAGCTGTGCCAGGACAGCGGCCCACGGACAGAGTTGAGCTGACTCCAGCCCTGATCTTGCTGGGCTCTGAATACAAGTCAGCTCATCGCTATCCACTAGCAGATCCAGAGTGACCTCAAGATTGCTCAGCTCAGGCCCCATTTCACGGATGGGCACACTGAGTTTCAGAGAGATCTGGAAAGAAAGCACAGAAGGCAGAGGTTTGTCCTCACTCTTTTTATTGTACTCCACCCCTCTCTTTCTTCAGACCTGATGTCCAAACAGAGCTAGACAGGCCTTGGGAGCTGGGGCTGGGTCACAGGCAGGCAGCCCAGGATTTGACTGAGGCTCCCACCCTACCCCGAGGTAGCTGAATAGGATTCATGGCCAGAAGGGCTGTCCCGGCCTGACACACCTGGGGAGAAGTATTGCCCCATGGAGGTGACATGTCAGGGACCATGCACCCGTGCTTGGGGGCATAGGTGTGTTAGATGGTTGTGTTTGCAGGGCCCAAGCTGTTCAAATACATACTGTGGACGGAGGGCTGTATGCATGTGGGTGGTGTGTACACTGGGTTGTGTGCACAAGACACTGGGTGGCACGTGAGCACACTGCACACATGTGAAGGGTATTTGAGACCCTGCTCGATGCCGACATCTGCCAGGCGAGGAGGGCCCAAGGCTTAGTCTGATGCCCACTCAGGAGCTTAGGACAGCGGTTCTTAAACTTAGGTCCCAAAATGGCCTGGGGAGTTTGCCATCCGTGCAGATTCTGGGTCAGGAGATCTGGGGTACGCCCAGGCACATGCACTGTTGACAAGCTCCCCAGGTTCATCTGAGGCCAGGAAGAAACAGGACTTGAGCAGAGCTGTCCAATAGAACTTTCCATAATGATGAAAATGTCCTGGGCTGCCTAGTGTGCCAGCCAGTAGCCATGTGTGCCCATGGGCAGTTGAAACATGGCTAGTTCAACTGAGGAACTGAATTTATTATTTTATTCAATGCCATTTAAATTTAAATAGTCACCTGTGGCTCGTGGCTGCCACATTATAGAGCACAGATCTAGAAAAACTGAGGCAGTGGGATGGATGATGAGGGCCCAGAGAGAGAAACACAAAGTCAGGGGACAGGTGTGTGAGAGGGTTCCACTCAACCCCAGCTCTTTCCCAGCAGGAGTGGCTAAGACTGGGGGGGTGTGGAGTCAGGACTGGAGCCCAGAATTGCACATGGGCCTCCTAGTGTCCATTTAAGCTTCTGCAGTGCTGGTGTCTGCCTGGCTGAGAGGTTAGAGACTTCCTGGGGAGACCCCTCTGTTCACGTTGGGACCCAGCCTGAAGCCTCACGCTGCATCCAGTCAGGAGTCAGGGTCTGAGGGCCAGGATGTCTTCATGTTCTCCTGCAGACCCAGGGTGGAGCTGGTAGCTGCGGGGTCACGCTCGCCCTGTATATGCATTGGGGCATCTGAGTCAGCCCTGGGGAAGAAGCTGCCCATTCCTCTCCCCAACTCCACACACACAGAGCACACAGACACAGACCACAGACACAGACAACAGACACAGACACAAGGGCCTGAAGCCTCGAAGGACCTGGCTCAGGGAGTTCTCTCACCGTCCCTGGTCCCATGTCCTCTGCGTACTTGAACTTCTTCTGCTTGTAGTAGTGCCTCTTGGGCAGGATGTGGAGCAGCAGCAGGTCACAGAGAACTGTGGCCTGGGGGCCGGGAGAAGCATGGGTAGAGCATGGGAATCCGGGGCGGGTACAGAGCCCTCCCCATCCCACCTCCGTCCCTGAAGGCGTGGCCATAGCTGCATCCTGCCCCACTCTAGACTTCAGTTTCCTGGAGAGAGGTTGAGACACTACAGAACCCTCAGGGTCTGAGACAGTTCCATCCCACCTTCATCCTGCTCAGCTCTGGGCCTTGGTTTCCTTTGTTAGTCTGTGGCTCTTGGATGATAGACTGGACAGTTGCTGGCTCAATAATGATAAGCAGTTAGCATCAAATTTTGGGATGAGGGACTTGTTGCTGTTACTGAGTTGTGGAAGAGGAGGACCTGACCCCCGCATACACTAGGACCTATACCCAGTGACTCCAGCACTTACCACCCCAAAGATGCCAATCCCAGAGCCGATGGTGGTCATTGTGGGGATGATGTCAAACTTCCCGGCCTGGTGGCGGAGCCCAGGGGAGAGAAGAATTCACAGTCAGAAGGCCCTGGGTAGAAAAGGCCAGACCTGGGACCAAGGAACTTCCCCACCCTTGGCTGTGACCTGTCCCCACTGCCTGCTGCCCAGGGCTCTGACTCCAAATGAGGAGCTAGCTCTGTGTTTTGACCTTGGTTCTACCTTCTTAGACCTAGGGGGACTGTGGGTGGGTGGCATGGTCACAAGCTGCAGAGCTGCGCCCTGCACATCCCGTGCCCCATCTGTTATCAGTACAACTGCTGAATGAACCCATCCAGCTCCCTGTCATCCATAGTTAGACACTCCGAGGCACTCACAGGGACCAAGAATGCATCTCAGTTGCCACCCTCCTTACACTGGACACTCACCTTTCCATCCACCAGGATGTCAAAGCGAATCCCAAACACCTTGAAGAGGTGACGGTGGTTGGTCTCGTTCTCCACGAAGTACCTGGCAAACCTTGAGGAAAGGACAAGGTGGCAGGAGAGTGATGGAGAACCGTCTCCGGTCTGGAACTCTCAGTGCATCAGGGGCGCAGGAGCCCTTAGTGGTCTGTGAATACAGCCCCATCCCCAGTCCCAGGCAGGATTCCCAAGCCTCGTTCCAGGAATGCTGTGCTCAACTCTTGAACTCTTGTCCCCCTCTTTTTTTTTTTTTTTTTTTTTTTTTGAGTAGGAGTCTTACTCTGTCACTCAGGCTCGAGTGCTATGCTCGCAGCCACTGGTGGCACACTCACAACCACTGCAGCCTTGAACTGCTAGGCTCAGGAGATCCTTCCACCTCAGGCTTCCAAGTAACTGGAACCACAGGTGCGTGCCACCATGCCAGGCTAATTTTTTGATGTACTGTAGAGACGAGGTCTCGCCAAGTTGCCCAGGCTCATCTTGAACCCCTGGACTCAGACAATCCTCTCGCCTCTGCTTCCCAAAGTGCTGAGATTACAGGTGTGAGCCACTGTGCCCAGCTTTTTTTTTTTTAATTAAGAGACAGGATCTCACTGTGTCACTCAGGTTGGGGTGCAGTGGCGCATTCATAACTCATTGCAGCCTCGAACTCCTGGTCTTAAGGGATCCTCCCATCTCTGTAGCTGGAACTACAGGTAAGCACCACCATATGTGTCTATTTTTTTTGTTGTTGTTAGAATTGGGATCTCTGTATTGCCCAGGGTGGTCTCAAACTCCTGGTGTCAAGTGGTCCTCCTACCTCAGCCTCTCAAAGTGCTGGGTTTACAGGTATGAGCCACCATGCCCAGCCATTGCCCCAACTCCTGATGTCAGCAATTTCCCCAGCTAGTCCTTAGCCAGGTGGGCCTCAAAGGAGCTGAGAACTAGGAGCAGGGGGATTCAAGCCTCCAAAGTCTTGCTCCCTGCTGGCTTCCTGCCTGGCCACCCAGGCAGAATGGGAACTGCCCAAGATCTTCTGCTCCCCTCTGGGGACACTTGCTCAACCCCACAAGGTTCTGGGAGTAGAAAAGCCCACAGGACCAAGGAAGAATGTGCTGGTGAGGGCCTAGCAGGCACCTGAAGTTGAAGCCTCGAGACAGATTTTTCTCCTCATACAAGCCATGGAAATCGTAGACAGGTCTACAGTGTCGTACATGCCAGTCCAGGTCACAGTTCCAGTCGATGGTGATGCCGACCACCCCGCCCTGCCAGGGACATAGGCATTTAAGATCAGGGAATTCAGGATCAAAAAAAATTCCTGTCTTACAGCTGGTGCCAGCACTCTCTCGAAAAGGGAATGCTTTTTTTGTTTGAAAAAAGACACCGAGAAGCTGCTTTGGAATAGAGAGCCTGTCACCCTTTCTGACCTCACCTTCCTCCCATCACATTCCACACTCCAGCTCTCTGACCTTTTCTCAAACACATCAAGTTCTTCCTGCCTCAAACTTTGCATGTGCAAAGTTTTCCACATGGCTCTTTCTCATCCTTCCCTGACCACCACCCCCAATCTAAAGTGTGCCTTTGTTATTCTCTCCTGTGTGTTTCCTTTCAAAGCGTTTGTTGCTTTGTAATTATATTTTTATTTCATGTGATTATTTATGAACCCAACTCCAACTCCAGGAGGACAGAGCTGTCTGTCTCATTCGTCACTGCCTCCCGAGTTCCTAGCACAAGTCATGGCACGGGAGGCCAGCAAATAGTTGTTGAATGAAAGAGTGAATCTGTAAAGACATGGATTGGGAAGAGAAAACTTGAAAAGGCAAAGCTCTTTTGGGAGAGGCAGGCAATAGTACAGGTGGGGGTGGGCTGGGCAGCAGGAGAGAAGTTGGGAGGTGGTCAGAGAAGGGGGCGATGGGCAACTTGGCAGGTGGCTGGTACTGGGGAGTCTTACTCTGTTGCTCAGGCTCGAGTGCAACGCTCACAGCCACTGGTGGCAGAACTCACAGCCACTGCAGCCTCCCTTGCAGGGAGGATTTTAGGAACAGGGAGATCTAACATGCAGCTTTCAGGTCATGTGTGTGGCTCCGGTGTAAGTGCCCTCCCAGAGTCAGCAAACCGAGGTCCGCTGGCCACATCCGGTCATGTCCATTGCGCACATATTGTCCGTGGCTGCTCTTGCCCTGCAATGGCTGACTTGGGGTGTTGGCACAGAAGCCCTACAACCTGCAGAGCTGAGGATATTTATTATCTGGCCCTTGAAAGAACAAGTTTGCTGGCCTCCCCTGCAGACAGATGTGTCATGAGTGAGGTTTTTTGGGAACATCACAGAAAAGAGACTGATTTCCCTCCCTGAAAAGGCAGCTGTAGGAGCAGGAATAACAAGGCATATGTGGGCATAGGTACACAGGATTGCCATGCTGGGAGGTACGGAAGCGCTGTCACTGCATGAACTCACTTGCTCTCAAGACAGCCCCATGACACTGGCACCATCATTGTCCCTGCTTGACAGGTACAAAAGCTCAGACACGCTGAAGTTAAGGGACCTGTCTGAGGTCACACTGCTCATTAGGGGAGGAGCTGGGATTTGAACCCAGTCAGCCAGATCTGTGCTCATTATAAGGGATTGTTTCTCTGAAGTCCAGGCACAGGTGTTTCAGGGCCACGGGCTATAGGATTCCAGCTGTTTTTCTGTCATATTTTTAAAATAGCAGGACATCTGCAAACACCCAGGTGGCAATGTCTGCCTGCATTAATCCATTCTGAACACCTACTCTGCACCAGGCCAGGCCCTGTTGAGGACACAAACCTGACCCCCAGGGCACCCACTACTAGGGACCAGACCCATACATAGGCTCAGCCCACATCAGGGAGGCTTGCAAGGATTCACTGGGCCCGAAAAGCCTTTACTGAGATCCTGGGCCCACTCCTCCCCCTGTGCCAGCACTGCCCCCATACCTTCTCCGCCAGGGAGCTAAAACTCTGTCCTGACTCCTGCACCACATAGCCAAGCCTGAAGACAGGGCACAGAGGGTGCAGGGTCTTGTGGTACAGGCAGGTCTTCATGTAGGCAGCATCCACCTCCTCCACCAGGTTGCGTCTGTAGGAGCGGAGGGTGTTGACAGCAGCAAGGTGCCATCTGGGAGGGTACCCACCAAGCCCCAAGGCTCTGGGGATCCCTCATAGTCTCCCGAATGCCCCTTCTCCAGCCCACCCAGGTGTCTGTCCCAGGGTTCTGCCTCCAGAGTGAAGCCAACAGGAATGGAGAGAGACAGAAACATTTAGGCCAGCCAGAGCAGCCTTGGAAGCCGCTTGCATTGCTGCCTGGATTTCCCACGAACCTGTTGACCTTGAAGCGTGGAAAGCTGATGCTGTTCTTGATGAAGAGAGTGAAGTTCTCGGCCTCCCGGAGAAGGGCGGGGCTGGAGGAGACCACAGTCACTGGTCACCCCTCCCTAGGAGCCCCGGCCCCCCTGCCATGAGCCCCAGGCAGAACTTGGCAGGGGGAGATGGGAGGGTATGGGACGCCCTGCAGCCTTGGACTGGTGGAGGGGTGGGCGTGCTGCAATGTGGACACACAGGCCTCCTGAGCAGGGCCTGGGGGAATCTTTCGACTGGGCTGAACAGTGAGATGGGATCAAAAAAAAAGGGGACAGATCATTTCCAGATCCAGATCCCCTTTTGCACAGGCTGGGAACCCTATTCCCAGCTCCCTGGAAGGACAGGGCATTACCGAGGCACATTGTCATCCACCTCCACAGGGCACCAGCCAAAGATCTCACATGTCTGCACAGTGCCGTTGAAGGCCACACATTTGCCCGTGCGGATGCCTGGAGTGAGAGAGGAACCCCTGGGTGTCCACCCTAAGCTGGGGTGCAGAAGAGGCCTCCCAGCTCCCTTCCCTAGGAGTTCCCAGTGATGGACCATCCAGGGGAAGGAGCTTGAGGACAGAAATGGGGCAGGCCAAGCCAGATGGCAGGAGTGGAGAGAGTAGGAGGGACTCCCTGATGGAGGATTGCCTGGCAGGAGGGATGTGGAGAGAGGCAGGTCAGGGCCAAGGCAGGCCTGTAGGACATGGGGGCCTGGAACTCAGGGGGCTGTGGAGGGCATAGGAGGAGGTTGACCTTACCTTGGGCCTTCCTTTCTGCCTTCCCGGGAATGCAGTTGCTGTCATCCCTGCATATGCCCCCTTCTGGGTGCTGGGGAGGGGAGAGCTGTTAGGTGGGGTCCTGAGAAGAGCCCCACCCGCCCCCAGGGCCCTACGGAGGGCACGGGGTAGAGTCTCAGACCTCCTCGGGGTGACATCTGCTCACAGCCCCCTTCCCCAGTTACCTCCCACACCACTCTGCCGAGGACTCCTCTGGGCTCATGCCAGCTGCCCATCACCAGTGTTTGGTGGCAGGGATGGAGAGGTCAGGGGAAGTGTGGCCACTAAGACTCATTGTCCCACCTGGCACATAGCAGGGAGGGCAGGCTCGGCACTGCCAGTGGTTGAGTTACTTTACGTGAATCTACGCCTGGATGTCCACCACTGTGGTCCCTGCAGAAGCCTATCCAGCTTTCCTGTCAGTGCCCAATGGGACTTCCCCTTCATGCCATTTTCCCCTGTGGGTCTGAGGGGGCTGGGCAAAAGTCCTCACCTCTGCACAGTAGCCTTGAGCCTGCTTTGGGGTTACGATGAAGTTGGTCATGACCACAAAGGAGCTGTCTCCCTGGAAGTGAGAGGGAGGGGAGGGTGGAACAGGGCTGGGAACTGAGAGAAGAGCCCGAGAACCCAGACACTGCTCCAGCAGGCCCCGGAGGACAGATGATACCCAGCTGCCACCACACCTCATGACAACATGGGGTGATTGATAGAACCAGGCTTCTTCTGCCTTCATTCACAGTTAGGGAAACTGAGGTCCAAAGAGAGACAGGAGCTGGGCTGGTCCCACAAAGAGGTGAGACACAGTCCCACCCAGCTCTGAGTCAGCTCACCTGGGCTGGGAAGACGTAGTCGGCCACATCCCAGACCTGGGGGCCAAGGCCCGGGAGCTGGGTCATGGCCAGGCCCTTGAGTTTCACAGACACACTGCTGATGAGGCTGCTTGAGGTCTGGTAGCCCTTCTCGTAGACAAAAACCCACCTGGCGGGGAGGGGACACAGAAAGTGGTGGTTCCGGCTCAAGTCCTTTCTGGCACCAGCTGGACGCATCCTGTCCTTCCTGGTGCTCTCCCCAGATGTGCCTCTGAACCACCTTCTGCCCCTGAAGCTCCCTCCCCTGCCTCCCCCTGCTGGCCTGAGCCTGAAGTTCCACTGTTCTTTTTTTTAAATTATTATTATTTTATTTTAGGTTCAGTGGGTACATGCGCTGGTTTGTTATATATTGTGTGGTGGCGAGGCTTGGGCATCTATTGAACCTGTCACCCAGGTGGTGGGCATGGTACCCAGTGGGTGGTCTTTCAATTCTTACCCCCTCCCTCTATCCTTCCCCTTTAGAAGTCTTCAGTGTTTGTTGTTCCCATCCTTGTGCCCGTATGTTCCCAGAGTTTAGATCCAGAATCTTTACAGAACTCAAACCAGTTGACAAGAAAAAACAGCCCCATTAAGAAGTGGGGAAAAAACATGAACAGACACTTCTCAAAGGAAGACATCCAAGCAGCCAACAAACATGAAAAATGCTCAACATCATTACTCACTTATCATCAGAGAAATGCAAATCAAAACCACAGTGAGATGCCATCTCACACGTCAGAATGACTATTATTAAAAAGTAAAAAAAACAGATGTTGGTGAGATTACAGAGAAAAAAGAACACTTGTACATTATCGTTGAAAACATAAGCTAGTGTGGAGAGTAGTTTGGAGATGTCTTAAAGAACTAAAAATACGTGACCACCATGCAACCCAAATATATACCCAAAGGAGCGTAAATTGTTCTACTAAAATGACATCTGCATGTACATGTTTTGTTTTTGTTTTTTTGAGTCAGAGTCTCACTCTGTTGCCCAGGCTAGAGTGCAGTGACATACTCATGGCCACTGCAGCCTCTACCTGCTGGGCTCAGGCGATCCTTCCGCCTCAGCCTTCCAAGGAACTACAGGCACAAGCCACCATGCCCGGCTAATTTTTGATTTATTGTAGAGATGAGGTCTCTCCAAGTTGCCCAGGCTGGTCTTGAACCTGTGGGCTCAGGCAATCCTCTCACCTCAGCCTCCCAAAGTGCTGGGATTATAGGCGTGAGCCACTGCACCCAGCCTGCATGTAAATGTTTATCACAACATTATCCACAACAGCAAAAGCATGGAACCAACCTAGGTGTCAATCAATGGTGGACCGGATTAAGAAAATGTGGTGGCTGGGCATGGTGGCTCACACCTGTAATTCCAGCACTTTGGGAGGCAGAAGTGAGAGGAGTGCCTGAGCCCACGGGTTCAAGATCAACCTGGGCAATGTGGAGAGATCTCATTTCTACAATAAATAAAAAATTAGCTGGGCATGGTGGTGCATACCTGCAGTTCCAGCTACTTGGAAGGCTAAGGTGGAAGGAACGCCTGAGCTCAGCAGGTCAGGGCTGTGGTGGCCGTGAGTGTGCCACTGCACTCCAGGTTGGGCAACAGAGTTAGACTCTGACTCAAAAAAAAAAGAAAGAAAAGAAAAGAAAATATGGTATCTATACACCATGGAATACTACACAGTCATACAAAAGAACCGAAATCATGTTCTTTGCAGCAACATGGATACAACCGGAGACCATCAACCTAAGTGAATTAGCACAGAAACAGAAAACTGAATGCCACATATTACCACCTTTCTTTTCCCCATCAAAATACTAATTCCCAGGGAGGAGACCCGCTGTATGACCCTTTTACACTTTTCCAAGAGGATAATTTTCTGAGCTCGGAGGTCAAGACTCTCGGACCCCAATCCTCCTTCTGAGAGTGCGCCTTCCCTCCTGCGGTTCTCCCACTGAGAAATAGCAGAGCGTGGTGGCCGAGAGTCTGGCCTTCGGTGCCTAGCAACCTGGATCTGAATCTCAGCTCTGCTACCCACTGGCTGTGTGATATGGAGTAAGCTATTCAATCTCTCTGTGCCTCAGTTTCTTTATCTGTAAAATGGGAATAATAATGGCACTTGTGTGTGAAATGAGTTACTGAATACGTAGAAACACTTAGAATAGGGACTGGCAAAGAGTAAGTGCTGTATAGACATTAGTGTTACTATTATCCCAACCACACTGTGATACCCTGTGGAGGGAGATGGGAAAGGAAACAGAAGGGGGAGGCAGCCCTACAAAGGGCTTGCAGCACCCAGCCCCCAATCAAGGCCCTTGTGGAAGTGGCTCAGGCTGCAGGTCTCCCATTTCCCAGCATTGAGAACTCCTGTTCCTTTGGGTTTTCCATTTTCAGTCTAGAAGGTTCAGTGGGGCTAATCTCCTTCCCAGCCCCAGGGTGAGCAGATGACCAAGGCTTGCCAATCAATGTTCCATCCCCCTAGTAACACTGATGGATCCAAGGATGGGCACATGACCTGGGGAGTTTCAGTAATGAAGCCAGGCTTTCTCTGGGAAAGAAACATGCTCTCTGCTGGGTGGCTAAGCAGGGTGACTGCAAGACTAAAACTATGGTAGTCATGTTCTCACCTCATGGAGAGAGCAACCCTGAGAATGAAATTCACCTGGAGGATACCTGGGCCAGGAAATGGAGAGGGACAGATTCTTGACAATGTTGTCTGAGCATCTGATCCAGCCATGCCCACAGCCTATTTGAAAATTTATTTCTGGACTTTTCAGTTACATATGCCAATAAATTGCCCCCTTTATTTAAGCCAGTTTGGCTTTCGTTTATGCTACTTAAAAATGAGAGTCTGGCTGGGAGCGATGACTCATGCCTGTAATCCCAGCACTTTGGAAGGCTGAGGTGAGAGGACTGCTTGAGCTCAGAAGTTCAAGACCAACCTAGGCAACATAGTGGATAACAAAAAATTAGCCAGGCATAGTGGTATGTGGCTGTAGTCCCAGCTACTTGGGAGCCTGAAGTGGAAGGATCGCCTGAGTACAGAGGCTGTGATCGGGCCATTGCACTCCTGCCTGGGTGACAGAGTGAGATCCCAACTCAAAAAGAAAGAGTCCTGGATAACACCTCTCTCCAGAATGTAGGCTCCTTCCTTTGAGAAAGACTCTTCATGGAGATTCAGGATAACTCGTGTGTGTGTGTGTGTGTGTGTGTGTGTGTGTGTGTGTGTGTGTGTGTCCCGTTGGGGTGTGTCACTGTATACCTCCAAGGCAAATCTGTGAGTGCACATGCAGGCAGATGTGCACTCCACCTCTTATTCTGCCCAAGCAGAGCTCAAAGTCTCTACTCTCCTCTCCCATCCTCTAGGGCTCGGGCCTGGTAACAGACTTCTCCAGGTTCTTAGTCCCACAGTCACCTCTAGCTCTCCAAGACTGTCTCCCTACTCCAGGCCCCAGGGAGGCAGCACATCAATGTCCTCTTCACCCCTCCCATAGTCTACCTGCCTCTCTCCAAGCCCGGGTCTCGCCCTGGCACTGCAGACAAGCCACACATTCCCTAAGCCTAAGCCTCAGCTTGGTCACTGCAGTCCCCTGCAGGTCCCAGATGGCAACAGGTGAGGCATGGCATAGGCCTCCGATTCTCAGGGTCCTGAGCCTGCCATGCTGCCTCTAGCCCCCCCAGGGAAAGCGAGGGCTCACTCATCTTCCCACTCTCCTTAAGTATCTTCCTCCAGGAAATCCCCAGCTCTGCACCCAAGCCTGAAGCAGCTGTTGCAAGGAGAAGGGGGTGCTGCCCACATTCTGACCCCCTCTGTGGGAGACACCACTAGCCGGCCTCTTGGCCCCCCCACCTCAAACATCCCAGCAGCATTTCTCCCTTCGCAAGACTAAGACATGGGGAAACTGAGGCCTGGGGAGTGTCTCTCCCAAGAGTCAGAGGCCAAGCACGGGGCAGGCCCCAGGCTCAAGACACCCAGTCCAGGACTCAGTCACCTTCCCTCTGCTGAGCACTGGCTTCAACGTGTCTTCCAGGAGCCAGGGTGCAGAGCCGTGTGGAGGCTGCACGCTGGGGCTAGCATGAGGCTTCCAGGCTCTATTTGTCCCCGGGGCTGCCGGTCTTCAGGGTCAAAGGGAAAAGTCAAATCTGGCATGGATGACCTTGGTTCTTGACTATGGCACCAGGCTCACTCCTCCAAAGCCATGCCTTGACCTGGCCTTGATGTCACCCCTGGGGAAGACCCCTAAGGGGGCCTGAGTCAGACACTGGCATCATCAGAAGCCACTCCCCTCCAGAAGCAACCTTCCCCAGGTGGCCCGCCTTGTCCTCAGCAGCACCCTGTCCTGGGCCCTCTTCTCCAGTGATCTCTCGTGGAGGAGGCCACAGGGTGGAGTGACCAAGAGTCAGGGACCAGTCCTGCCACTCCCCAGCTGTGTGGCTTCAGGGTAGAGACTCAACCTCTCCAAGCCCTGGTTTTCTCAGTAAGACAGAGGTGGTAGCACGTAGCTCAAAGGCGCTGCTCACTCAAGGCCCTACTATGTACTCAGCCCTGGGCCCCTGAGAGACAAAAGCATCTAGGTCACTGGGGGAAGTTTCTGTGCGTTCTCTTTAAGGAAATGAGCACCATGCTTGGCACATAGTAGGCAAGTAATAACTGAAACCTCCTATTTTCACTGGCTTTGCTCCTCCTTCACTAATTCCTCTTTTATTGTTGAGCCACCCACATTGTCCTGGTTTCCACTCTCACAGACATGCTGTGTCCCCAGATTTCCAGCTCCAAATTTGCACTTTCCCCTGAGATGTAATTCCACCTGTTCATTTAGTCTTTCAACAAACATATATTTATCGAGCCCCTCTTATGTGCCAAGCACTGTTCTATAAAGACACTAAAAATGCACATGTAAACAAAACAAACAAAAATCTTGTTCTCTAGGGACTTACATAGACACTTTTTTTTTTTTTTTTTTTGAGTTGGAGTCTCACTCTGTCACCCAGGCTGGAGTGCAGCGGCATGCTCATGGCCACCCCAGCATCAACCAGCTGGGCTCTGGCGGTCCTTCTGCCTCAGCCTTCCAAGTAGCCAGAACTACAGGCACGTGCTACCACGCCTGGCTAATTTTTGTTTTATTGTAGAC